CGCAGCGTGCGGTTTGCAACGCATTCCTTTTCAGTATGCGAGTTCCCGCGGTGTTTCTCAGGTTGCAGGGCTCCGAGGCTCTTCGTTTCGATGCCAATGTTTTCAGACACCGTAGCTCCGTTCCGTAAACATCTTCCAAGAACCGCTTGCAACCTTTTGCAGCTGGCGGTCTGCAGACGTAGTCTGTCTCAGCATGCGAGCTCCCGCACGCTTCGCCGGCTTTTGCTGCGCGGACAATTTTCTCACACACGTCAGCGCCGTTTGTAGGCGTCAGAAAAACATGTAGACATTCACGAAGGGCTCAGTCTGTATATCGTCACATCATTACATACGCAGTCGTCGAACACATCGGTGTACATTCAGCGCTTTGTCCTTCTAGCTGGGTCGCTTCGTGCTGAGGCTGAGGCTGATGCAGGCTGAGGCTGAGGCAGGCTGAGGCTGAGGCCGAGGCCGACGGCAGACTGAGGCTGAGGCTGAAGCAGGCTGAGGCTGAGGCAGAGGCAGGCTGAGGCTGAGGCTGAGGCTGAGGCAGGCTGATGCTGAGGCAGGCTGAGGCTGAGGCTGAGGCTGATGCAGGCTGAGGCTGAGGCAGGCTGAGGCTGAGGCCGAGGCTGAAGGCAGACTGAGGCTGAGGCTGAAGCAGGCTGAGGCTGAGGCTGAGGCAGGCTGAGGCTGAGGCAGGCTGAGGCTGAGGCTGAGGCAGGCTGAGGCTGAGGCTGTGACTGCGACTGCCGTTGCCACTGCGACTGTCATCGCGAATGCGACTACGACTGCGAGGACAGCAGAATTCTACAACTGGATTCTCATCCGAATCTTAAGGGGAATGCTTCCAGATATGCTCCTACACATGGCTGTTAGGTTGCTTTGCCGGGATAATTTACGCAAGGGACTGTCCACAGACTTTGCCAGGCAGCACTTGGCACTCCAGCACGCCTCAAGGTGTCGGGGGGCACGGTGGCGGATTTTTGCGTTTATCGAAGACGCCTACGGCGAATCACCGCGCTCCCTGCCTTTGTGGAAGCGCCAATGTGGCCGAACGTTGAGGCCAGACCTGCCAAGCCATCGGACCATGTGTTCCCCGAATCGGTTTGGAAAGCCTTCGGGGAACACGTGGGCATTTTGAAGGTCATCTTGGCCGTCTTGGAGGCCTCTTGGGCGATCTTTCGGCGATCTTTGGGAGCTCTTGGGCCGTCTCGGGCCGTCGGCAGGCCGAAAAGAAGGAAACGTCAAAATCCGTCAAAAACCTAAGGATCATCAATGTTTTTGGCCTCTTCTGGCCTTCCTGGAGGCCTCTTGGGGGCCTCTTGGGCCCTTTTGGGCCAGCTTCGAGCCAACTTCGGCTACTTGGTGGGTTCCTCGCTTGTCTGACGCCGTCGGGAGCCGTCTTGGGGGCATTTCTGGGCCAACGGGGGACCTTCTTGGGGCGCTTCCGGGCCGTCTTGGACGCCATCTTGGGCGTCTTGGAGGCCATCTTGGGCGTGTTGGAGGCCTCTTGGGCCGTCTTGGGGCCATCTTGGAGGCCACTTGGGCCGTCATGGGGCCCTCTTGGGGGCCTCTTGGGCGATCTTGGGGGCCTCTTGGACCGTCTTGAACCGTCGGAATGCCGAGAAGAAGCAAATTCCCAAATCCATGATTTTGGCCTCTTCGGGCCCTCCTGGAAGACCTCTTGAAGGCCTCTTGGGCCGTCTGGGAGGCCTCTGGGGGGCCTCTTGGGCCGTCTTGGACTCTCTTGGGCCGTCTTGGAGGCCGTCTTGGACCATCTTGGGCGGACTTGGAGGCCATCTTGGAGGCCATCTTGGGCCATCTTGGAGGCCATCTAGGAGCCGTCTTGGGCAGGAACTTGGGGAATTGAGGTCCTTGGCAATCCTCCAGGGACCCCGACGGGACGCGCCGGAGCCCCAGGGGGAGCTTCTTTGGAAAAATAACCAAAACCAAAACCGTAATAGTCTGGCACGCCAGGCACCCCTGTGATGAATCAACAGGGGGCGGCGGACCCAGCTGCTTGCGGCAAGTCCCGCCACCGTGTCAGCCCAGTATTCTCGGAGGCGTTGGTTTGAGGGGGCAAAGGAGGCCGTCCGGTGTGGCATGTCGTGCCCCCAGGGTGATGATTCTGATGACGATGATTATGATGATGGTGGTGGTGGTGATGGTGATGGTGATGATGCTGCGGATGATGAGCATGATGAAGATTATGATGTTGGTAATGATGTGTGCGATGATGCTGCTGATGATGATGACGATGCTGATTGTGATGATGATAATGGTGATGCTGGCGATGGTGATGGTGATAATGCTGGTGGCGATGATGGTGATGCTGGTGACGGTGAAGGATATTATCTTGCTGATAATGATGGTGTTGTTGTTGGTGATGGTGATGTTGCGGACGGTGTCGGTGATGTTTATGATGATCATGATACTGTTGATGATGACGATGGCGTCTTTGATGATGATGATGATGATGATGATTATGGTGATGATGACGATGGTAAGGATGCTGCTGATGATAATGATGAACATGACAAGAATGCTGATGATACTGTGGATGAGTATTATCATGCAGATGGTCAGAATGGTAATACTGCTGACGAACGATGATGATGACGATGGTGATGATGATGCTGAATCTATAGAGGGTGCTGATGATAATGTGGATGATGATTGTCAGGATGATGGTCATAATGGTAATAATGATAATGATGATGACGACGATGATGATTACGATTATGGTGATGATGATGCTGATGGTGAAGTGAAGTTGCTGTTGCTGGTGATGATCATGGTGGTGATGATGAAAATCGTGGTGGTGGTGGGGCTGGTGAGGATGCGGATCATGATGAAGATGCTGATGAAGATGAATATGTACATGCAGATGAGCATGATTGTGGACATGAAGGTGAATATAACGATGCGGATGAAGTTGGTGATGATGGTGATGATGCTGGTGGTGGTGATGGTGATGGTGATGGTGATGATCATGCTCATGATCAGGATGCTGATTTTGATGGTGATGATGGCGATGATGAGGATGATGATGATAATGATGATGCTGATGATGATGATGATGATGATGATGATGACGATGTTTATGCTGATGATCATGCTGGTCATGCTGATCATGATGATGCTGATGCTGATGCTGGTGCTGGTGCTGGTGCTGATGCTGGTGGAGATGACGACGATTGCGATTGTCAGGATGATGATACTGGTAATCATGAGGAGGAGGAAGAGGAGGAGGAGGAGTAGGAGTAGGAGCAGGAGGAAGAGGAGGAGGAGGAGGAGGAGGAGGAGGAGGAGGAGGAGGAGGAAGGGGAGGAATGCCGTCACATGTGTCACTTTTCGCCTTCACTGTTCGAGGAGCCCCCATGGACCCTGTTCGGGCCGTCTTGGGGCTGGTTTGGCCTCCGACGGTCTTGCGTGTCCTTTTGGGCCTTCTTGAGCAGTCGGGGGCCCTATCACGCCGTCTTTGGGCTCTCTTGAGACGTCTCGGGGCCCCCCATGACCGTACAGTGGCTGTCCGGGCAGCCCCCATCATTCTTCCACTCCTCAACTCGCACGAGGCACGGTGGCGGGTTACGCGATGGTTGCGTCACGATTGTGTTTAGGCTGTGCTTTAAGCGAGCCTCCGTTCTGCAGTACGCGTGTAAGAACAGCGTTTTCATAATGGTACCATCCATCGCGCCATTGTGCCTTGCGAGGACAAGTGAAGGGTGTCCTGTGTAGCCGCCCTGACGTAACGCTGCCCTAGCCATGCGGAAACAGGCCATGCAGACATAATCACGCCCCATGTGACACATCATGGGCACAGCGCCGACGCGCTATTCGCCCAGGCGTGATTGCGGCAAGCAACATACATGTTGACGCCATGCCTGAGACTCGAACTCGGACTCATTATAATAGTGGTCGCATAGCCGCCTCTACAAACATTTGTTTCTCGGAAGCATAATGCCGAACACGCAGTTCATTTCAGAAAAATATGTGGTTTCCACTATTTCAACCAGCATGTGGTGGTGAGTCTTCGTCCTGAAGAAACTGCCCCGCGTATCCTTCGTATCATCTCCCTCTTCCTTCCTCCCATCCCTTCCTCTGCCCTCCGCATGTCAACCAGTTCGGCATACCCCTCACGCGCTTCGTGACTCCATAGGGAGCTCCACCGAAGGCCCCAAATGCGACGTTCGCATGTTGGCGCCACGCCCGTTTCGGTACACACACACACACACCTCACGCGCTTCGTGACTGCAGGGGGAGCTCCACCGAAGGCCCCACATGCGACGTTTGCATGTGGGCGCCACGCCCGTTTCGGCACATCCCTCACACGCCGTGTGGCCGCATAGGACACCTCAAACGCTTCGTGGCCCTCACCACCGAAGGCCCCAGTGGCAGTGTCCACCATGCGGCCCCACATGGAGCTCCACTGAAGACGATACTCACCGCGCTTCTCACAACTGCACATGTCTGGGTCTTTCGCCCGGATTTTTGTTATAGGTCTCCATTGGCCCTCTTGTATCAGACGCGATGTGTCTATCGAGTTTTCTTCGTCCCCCTTTTCCTCGTGAGCATCACCACCGCACTTGTCATCATCGTCGCTGCCGCCGCCGTCGTCGCCACCATCATCAGCATCAGCATAAGCATGAACACCATCCCATCACCATTACCATTACCGTCACCATTACCATCATGACCAGCAGCACCGCACCATCATGAGCTCCCTCGCGCGCTCCTTCTGCGAGCGTCTGGATCAGCATCATCATCCTCATCCTTCCCCCCACCGCCCCACGCATCTTATGGCAATCATGACACTGTGGCAACCCCGCCTCCGATTTGCTCCTGAGTTCTTGTGGCAACCAGGACACTCCGCCTCCGACGGGCGCACCGCCATCATCATCCTTACGCGTCTCTCGCCTCCCCCACCGCCCCTTCGCCCTCCTTGCATCCCGTCGCCCTCCTTCTGCTCTTCCTGGAGTGGGGACTCTTGCGCGCGCGGCCTGTCAAGCGGCGCGAAGGCTGCAGAACCTCCCGGTCAGCACGCTATGCATGTTCGACATAGGTTCCCGCGCATCCTGTTCTTCTTCCGTCGCTTCCCTGGTGCTGTCATTCCTTCATCCCTCCTTGTTGCTATCATCGTGACCATCCTCCTCCATCTCCTTGCCACAGAAGTACATCAGCTTCATCCCTCCCCCCTTCCCCCTCCCTCAGCAGTCGCGTGCCCTCGCACCGGGCACGGCGGCGGAACCAAGGCGTCCAGAGGCAGCGGCGCGCTTCCTTCAAGACAAGGCCTTCTGCGTCCAGGCCCCTCGGTCATCGTGGTGAAGGCCGAAGGCGCCACTGACGCAAGCACGGCGGCAAAAGCGGCAGGGCTGCGCACGCGATCGGTCCTGCGCGCTGTCGTCCTTGAGTGCCGACGCTGTGCTGACCGAGCTCCCGCGTTCCTATTCCACCCGCCGGCACCGCGTAGAGTGCGGGCCGCTGCTCCGGCCGCGGACGTGCAGGCGGCTCCGTGGAGGGAGGGGCGGGGCGAGCAGGGCGGAGTCGGCCTGAGCGTCGCGTTTCGATCGATAGTGCCCTTGGCATCGCTCGGACGTGTGCATTTTTTCTTTCGGCGAGGACCATCGAGGAGCATCCTTGATCATTTGGCGAAAAAAAAAACACGCACGAAACCGAAAAAAGCACAGGGAATGGACGTCCGAGCGATGGAGAGGGGCGGAGTCGGCCTGAGCGTCGCGTTTCGATCGACGGTGCCTGCTCTCGGTCCTGCACTGTCGTCTGAGCTCTCACTCTTCGTCCGTCACTGGGCATCAGGGCTCGAGAAGTCACTGCAGGGGAGCGCTTCAGCTTCTGTTCAGAGTTCCGAGAGTGCTTGTTGCGCCCGTTGGGTTCCACGGACGAGGGGCCGCCATATGCTCTTGAGCCTGAGCCAACCTCATCATGGCCAAGCCTTGGTCACGATGAGGTTGGCTCCTGCGTATTTTTTTTTTTTTTTTTTTTTAAGGGGGGGGCGTCCCGCAGCGCCCCCCGATGCGCCATAGGGCTGGATGCATCGGCGCATAGCGGAATGGTGGAAGAATAGGCGGGCGTGGTAGGACCCAGTAGAAGTTGATAGAAGCTGATAGAAGCTCACAGGCGGACCGCATGATTGAAATAACTCTCAGGGCGGTGACACCTAACCAAGGGGACCCTCGAGGGCCCTTCCGACCAGCGCGTGCAGTGTGCCACGCCCAGCGAGAGGAGGGCGGGGCCGCAGAGAGCTGGGGCCCGAGTGCTGGGGAGAGGCCCGCCGCGCCGGGGGGGCGGGGGGGGCGGCGCGGGGGAAGCTCTGGGCCTCCCAGATGGGGTCCGAGTGCAGTCGGACCGAGGTGCGAGGTTCGAGGTTCGAGGTTCGAGGTTTTCGGACGTGTTCGTCGTTCCTCGGGATGCTTGCCAGCAGCTGCGCCTCGCCGAGAGCGTTTCGGAGGTGCTGGGATCGTCCCAACCGGCCGTTGGAGACCCGAGCTGACCCAAAAACCACATTCGGCGGCGGACCGAGATCGAGGTCGGTGTGGGGAGGGTACCCTAGTGTTCTTCGCGTTTGTTCGATGTTCTTGTGCATCCTGGAGGAGGGTACCCTCGAAGGTTCTTCGGTTTGGGCCGGCGGAGGGTCTCGTGTTCTTGAGAGATGTTCTTCTGTCTTAGGTCAGACTGTAAATGGGGTCGGAGGTGGAACCGATGCATCGCCGACGTCGCCGATACGTCGCCCATGCATCGGCGATGCATCGTCGATGCATCTGCGAGGCGGCGCGATCTTCCGACCCCATCTGATCGGACCCCATCTAGGAGGCCTCTAGAAGCGGGCTGGTCTCTGGGTGCCGCGGTGCTCTCGGGCGGTGCGTCCTGGGGGGGGGCGACCAGCATGAAGGGAAGGGGTCCCGAGTTGTTGTTTGCCCTCGTCGAGGCCCTCGTCGACGCGGCGGCCCCCAGCCGCAGGATGAAGAGGTGGTCCTGGGGGGAGGCTTCGGGGCCCAGTCGGCCACGCGAAGAGGGGGGTAGGGGGAGGGTTCTCGAGGCCGGGGGATTGTGGGGGCCTCGTCGTTTTCATATGGTTTTTATCGAGTGAAACGCTCTTCCATCTCTCTGCGTCATCATATTATCTTCTTAATAATATCTTTCGTTCCTTCGTCCTCTTGCCATCTACTCCTCGCTCTTCATTTCTCTCTCTCTCTCTCTTTACCTGTACCATTGCCTGTACCATTACCATTGCCATTACAATTGCCAGTGCCATTACTATTGCCATGACAATTGCCATTATCATTGCCATTGCCAGTGCCGTTGCCGTTGCCATTGCCATGGTATTGCCATTGCCAGTAGCCACCCCGTTACCATTACCGTTACCATTACCATTCCCATTACCATTACCATTACCATTCGCCACCACCATTACCATTGCCATTATCATTAGCATTACCAGCACAATTGCCATTACCATTACCATTACCGCTGCCATCACCATTACAATTCCCATTCCCATCATCATTGCCATTATCATTACCGTTACCAGTAATATTTCCATTACCATTGCCATTATCTTTCCCACTACCACTACCATTTCCATTCCCGTTCCCGTTCCAATTACTACTACGATTCCCATTCCCATTCCCATTACCATTACCATTACCATTACCATTACCATTACCATTACCATTACCATTACCATGACCATGACCATGACCATGACCATTACCATTGCCATGGCCATTGCTATTGCCATTGCCGTTGCCGTTGCCATTCCCATTACCATTGCCAATCGCTACCCCGTTACCATTGCCATAACCATTACCATTACCGTTATCGTCACCATTACCATTCCCAGTACCATTATCATTACCACTGTCATTGCCATTACCATTACCATTGCCATTGCCATTGCCATTCGCCACTACCATTACCATTGCCATTCGCCACTACCATTACCATTACCATTGCCATTGCCATTGCCCTTCGCCACTACCATTACCGTTGCCAGTACCATTACCATTCCGATTAACATTCCCATTCCCAAGACCATTACCATTACCATTACCATTACAATTGCCATTGCCATTACCATTACCTTTACCTCTACCTTTACATTTACCCTTACCCTTACCATTCCCATTTCCGTTACCACTACCACTGCCATTTACATGCCCGTTCCCATTCACATTCCCATTCTTGTTCCCATTCCCATTCACATTACCATTGCCATTACCATTACCATTGCCATTGCCATGGCCATTACCATTGCCATTCCCATTGCCATTGCCATTGCCATTACCGTTGCCGTTGTCATTGTCATTGCCATTGCCAGTCGCCACCCCGTTACCATATCATTACCGTTACCATTACCAGTACCATTACCATTACTTCTGTCATTACCATTACCATTCGCATTGCCATTGCCATTGCCATTAGCCACTACCATTACCATTGCCAGTACCATTTCCATTGCCATTCCCATTCGCATGACCATTACCATTACAATTACCATTACCATTATCACTATCATTTCCATTACCATTACCTTTACCTCTACCTTTACCTTTACCCTTACCCTTATCATTCCCATTTCCGTTACCACTACCACTACCATTTCCATTCCCGTTCCCGTTCCTATTCCCATTCACATTCCCGTTCCCATTCCCATTACCATTGCCATTATCATTACATTTACCATTGCCATTGCCATGGCCATTATCATTGTCATTGCCATTGCCAATCTCATTGCCATTGTCATTACCATTACCGTTGCCATTGTCATTGCCATTGCCAATCGCTACCCCCTTACCATTACCATTACCGTTACCATTACCAGTACCAGTACCATTACTTCTGTCATTACCATTACCATTACCATCACCATTGCCATTGCCATTCGTCACTACCATTACCATTGCCAGTACCATTTCCACTCCCATTCCCATTACCATGATACTACCGCTGCCATTACCATTAGAATTCCCATTCTCATTCCCATTCCCAATACTATTACAATTTCCAGAACCATTACCATTACCATTACCAGTGCCATTACCATTACCACTACCACTATCATTTCCATTCCCGTTCCCGTTCCCATTCCCACTTCCATTCCCATTACCATTACCATTACCATTACCACTGCCATTGCCAGTACCATTACCATTACCATTACCATTACCTTTAACTCTACCTATACCTCTACCCTTACCATGACCATTACCATTGCCATGGCCATTACCATTGCCATTGCCATTGTCATTTCCATTCCCATTGCCATTAACATTACCATTACCGTTGCCATTGCCATTGTCATTGCCTCGCTACCCCGTTACCACTATCATTACCGTAACCATTACCGTTACCATTACCAGTACCAGTACCATTACTTCTGTCATTACCATTACCATTGCCATTGCCATTGCCATTGCCATTCGTCACTACCATTACCATTGCCAGTACCATTTCCACTCCCATTCCCATTACCATGATACTACCGCTGCCATTACCATTAGAATTCCCATTCTCATTCCCATTCCCAATACTATTACAATTTCCAGAACCATTACCATTACCAGTGCCATTACCATTACCACTACCACTATCATTTCCATTCCCGTTCCCGTTCCCATTCCCACTTCCATTCCCATTACCATTACCATTACCACTGCCATTGCCAGTACCATTACCATTACCATTACCATTACCTTTAACTCTACCTTTACCTCTACCCTTACCATTACCATTACCATTGCCATGGCCATTACCATTGCCATTGCCATTGTCATTGCCATTCCCATTGCCATTGCCATTGCATTACCATTACCGTTGCCATTGCCATTGTCATTGCCTCGCTACCCCGTTACCACTATCATTACCGTAACCATTACCAGTACCATTACCCATTACCATTACCATTACCATTACCATTGCCATTGCCATTGCCATTGCCATTCGAGGATTTCAGTAGGAATCATTCAGTGGAGGGTTTCAGTAGGAATCCACATGTGGAGGATTTCGGTAGGAATCATTCAGTGGAGGGTTTCGATAGGAACCCTT